AGTGACATCGGTGAGCTCTCAATTCATACTAAAGCTCTACATTTCGATAAGTGTGATTGAGCTGATGAACTGGTCCAGCGCTTCATTTCGCATTTCATTGACAGTTCCCTCATTTTTTTCCATCTCTACTTCATTTATTCAGCTCTCTAAATAAAAAGTGAAACCATCTCCTCCCTTATATTCCAGATCCTCTTAGGTAGAGAAAGTCCTCAGTTTCCAGCTAGTAGCCATTATTAAGAGAAAAAAGGTATTACAAGTTGGATTTCCTTATTTATCAAAGCGAGCGGTCCAAGTAATAGCGTTGGGGCGCGCTCTGATGCGACGATCGCGGCGATCGCCTTTGCTATCGCGAAGTATGAACGCTGCCCAAGTGAGTGCTCATTCTTGGTTCGTTACAGATACGCGCCTTGATTTCTACAAGCATATTGTATTATCTGGTGGATCAACAATGTATCCTGGATTACCGAGTAGACTTGAGAAAGAGATGAAGCAGTTGTACCTGGATCGTGTTTTGAAAGGAAATACAGATTTGTTCCAGGTGAGATCCTTCTTCCTTTGTACGATGCTTAGAATGTTTTGAAAAAAGTTTGCCATTTCACCAGTCATGCAGTTTTAATGCGCTTCTGTTGATTGTTTGTAATTTCCACTTTTGCTTAAAGTCAGTGGGCAGGATTGCTGGCAGGGTACAGCATCGTGATGTGTGAGGTGGTGGTGTAGGTACGACCCCCCTCCGAGAGAGGGTGTCAGTACGACCCCCCCCCACCTGAATGAGGGTCTCGGTACGACCCCCCCCTTCCCCAACACCTACCTACCAATTTCCCACATTTTCCAGTCCAGTTTTTCACCCAAAAATTTTCCGTCGGGGGGTATATAGCACCTGTGAAACGGAAGAATTTCCCCAATTTCCTACCACTTTTCCCAAATTCCCGGAAATTTTCCTACTTTTTCCCTAAAATTTTGCTGTCGAGCGGGGGTATATAGTGCACATGAAATAGGAAAAATCACGCGACAAGTGAACAACCAGGAAAAATTTTTTCCCAACGCAGCAAATTCATCTTCAAGGTACATACGACCTGCTGCTCTCCTAACAGTTGACCAAATACGACCCCCCCCCTCTCCTCCCCAGAGAAAAAGCGCGACCCCCCCCTCATGTGTTTCACACAACGATGCTGCACCCTGATTGCTGGAGGCGGGCGGTTGTAGCCACTGTCATTGGTGAAAAGGGCTGCGAGAAGGAATTTGGCTACACCCCTCTTGGTCCTCCCACCAGTGACGTTGGCGATAACCGCCCTCCTCCAGCAATCATGTCCCTGTCTTTAATACATTACCTTCTGCGAGGATCTGTATTAGGTATTCGCATTCCATGTCTAAAAACGTGTTCTTATAAGTTTTGAGCATGAAATAGATGTCAGATGGACCACTCCAGACCAGACAGAGCAGAGAGATCATTGCATGACTCATCATGAGTGTCACGCTGTCTACAACATGTTAGCATACTTTTCCCAATATGTGGGGTGATGCGTGTAAGGCCTTAACCGTAAATTGTAGTCAGGGTCAAGCATTCTTTGAAAAATACGCAGCAAGAGGTGGGGTCGTATGTGCGCATGTCAGTAAAGAAAGGCAGTGACAAGATTTGTGGGGCATGGAAGACGTTGCCATTGGTTTTGTGCCTCGGGGCGGAGCCGAGCCTATCTCAACCGTGTTGGTTGTAAGGAAATCCATGAGACCTTTATATTGTATCAATGAAAGTAAACTATTGCTCCTTTTGCAAGCGCAGGTCTCATAAAAAGACAGAGAGCTCATTGGCCGGCTTGAAGCATTGTTTCAGGCCAGTGTGGCTTCAAAAACAGTGGGCACAGTGAGTGCAGTAGACTTATAGCGTAAATATGCCTAGCAGAAAAGAATTCAGGCACGGTGTGGTCCCTTTCCAGAGGAGTTCGCTCTCAGATACCTCAGCAAGGCTTTACATGCCGACTGCCACTCCCCTTAAAACCCATACACCCACAAGTCCTGTACGTCCTGAAATTGCTCGGATCAGCTGTTTTTACCCGCAGCGTGGCACCAATTGAACAAGGCTTTTTCATTTCTTCGTGGTTCCCTCTGAAAAGATGAGCTTCTCCTAGAAGCGAAGATAATTTCATAGGCATTCTGCCAGGTTTTCTTGCAAGTTTTACCCACTGTTTGAAATTTGAGACTTTTCAGTTGTTTTTTTTTGGTTAGTTTAGCACTTTTTGGTATTGTAGCAAGGTTTGCTGTTTCTTGATGTTATGTTTTTTTCCACGGTTGTTGCAATCGCTAAGATTTTTCGCGTTGTTAGCTGACCAACGATGGCATCTGTCTGCCTCAGGTGTCTGCTGGTTTACTTTCTAATTAAAGCGGGCAGTAAGAGTCCCATTTCCGCCGTGTGTAGAGAATGCAACCCATTTTCCTTTCATTTACGCGCTATTTGGTTCCACCGCTTCTGTGTTCTGCAGGGAACCGAATTATCGTGCCATTTGTCTTCAAAATGTTCACTGCAATTCTGATCGAAACTCCATTTTGCAACAAATCCCGCTGCGTTGTTGAGTCAACAACGAGTGCCTCAGTTTCTGATCACCATATCTGGAGGATGTCATTCGGAAGCGTTCAAAGGTTTCTCATAGGAATTGTAGGCAATCTTTTCTGCAGCTGGAACCTTTACGCGAAGTATAGGACCATCCCATCGAGGGCTCGTTTCCCACATTCTGGGAACTATGAGGACTACGCCGAGCTTTGTGTCTACGACATAGTTGCACAATGACAATGAGGTACAAATCTGAATCGCTGGTTTCCCGAATCTTCCAACTTCGCGGTCTTCGTTTCTCAGGAGCGGCAAAATATAATCTAATTGTAGCCCAGAAGACGTAGGAGGTTATCAGTCATTAGATTGGAGTTGATTTCAGTAGAGTATTCGTACAACATTCAGGTATTTAGGAGTTGAGCAAACTCTTGATGGAGTATTGTATTGTCCCGGGGTCTCATTTCCTATCTGAATGTGTAATAACAATGTGAAACTCCAAAAATTTATTCCAAAAAACTCAAAAGACAGCAAAAGTCTCAAAAGTTTTTTTTAAATATCTTATCTTGCAATATTTCGGTGCGTAGCACCTTCGTCAGGCCCATCTATCCCGGAAAAAATTTGATCATTTTTTTAAATAATTCTTTTATTCCGGGACAACTGGGCCTGATGAAGGTGCTACGCACCGAAATATGCAAGATAAGATATTTTAAAAACTTTTGAGACTTTTGCTGTCTTTTGAGTTTTTTGGAATAAATTTTTGGAGTTTCACATTGTTTTACACATTCAAATTGCTGATGATTGAATAGTATTTGATCTCTCCGGATCCTCTCCTTGTTTGTCCCTTTCCTTCGCATGTGATGAGATCTCGTACAATGTTTGTCTAATGGCTGTATACATCGTTGGTGGTAGTTTTGATGTGGCCGACAAGGTTCAATCGGTTCCTGGGTGGTATTTCTAATTTTTCATTCGACGGGCGCCCAATACCCGCCATTCATAGGCTTCATGGACGATTTCTTGACGTCAATGCGTTTTCTGGTATGAATTTCTTTTGTTGTGACACACAGCGGCCACCAACCACCTGGCTGCCGCGCCAATTTCGGATTAGCATAGTCAAATAGACCGCGACCGCGCCCACCCACATAGTCGCTGGAATGGATAGGAGGTGCTCTGCGGTTCAATGTCAATACGCTGAAAGAGGGTAGAGTAGTACGATGGATGCTATTTATAGCGGCTTTAATGTGGTCAGTGTTTGGCTTTGGAAAAGATAGGATGAATTTGTCTCAATGACATCTATCCATAACGGAACGATGACTGTATTTGGTGTTCTGAGTCCTTGTTCTAGTTACAACTTTTAGACGTTGATCGACTAAGGAGGGGGGTGGGAGAGAGAGCATTTCGCTAGTTTCGTCCTTGGCGAGACCTTAAGACTCTCGCCAAGTGTGAACGAAGCACTTGCTGTAGTATAGCCTCACAGGTATTCGCAGGAGAGATTGGATACTGATCAGGGAGAGTCAGCATGATGTGCCACCAATCTGACCAGGAAAGGTCAACAGGTCAGCCTGTCCATTTACAATGAGGTGCACATCATCGTACTCGCCTTGAGACGACGAACTCAAACAAACCCGGAAATCTATGTCACTGGTTGAGCTGGATCCAGCCAGGACTGTGTTAAGAGGCGCTGTTTCGCCCATTGCTTTGTTTTGCCCATTTCCTCCCTCCTCGGCCGACGATGCCACAAGTTGTCCTGCCTGATAACTCTTTCAGGAATAAGGATCCACTGGAGCAAACATCTCCCTGCTCCATTTTTTCGTTATATTCGCTACTATACCGTTTTGATAATGGAAAATGCTAGGCTAATCTGTTCTTATAGTGCTGCGTGTTTTCGCGGGCGAAGTGGTGCAGGGGCAATTGACGGCCTAGCCGCGCAGTGGTCTAGGGATCACATATTGGATCAATTCCATCCGGAAGACTAACAGGACCTCCCATCCTTCAGCAGCCGATAAATTGGTGCCAGACTCTACGGGATGATGAATACACTGATTTATACCTTGGTAGGTCATTCTGTAGGACGAACCCCCTACCGGAACCACCACGGTTCTGAGTGTAGGTAGTATGCGTGGCGTATCTCAGGAAGTGTTCAACAACGACGGGTGTTTGTTTCTTATCTTTTATGGGTCTTTAGTTATGAAGCTGTTATTGTTTGATAACTGCTGTTTAACGCCGCAGTGCGCGATTCGAAAGTTATCACAAGAATGCTGAGTTATGGGCAAAAGTCGGACCACGGACGGGATTCGAACCCGCATCTTCCGCTTACCGGGTGGGTTGCGTTCCCTATTACGCTACCAAGGCCGGGTATGTGACAAGAGGATCGTAATTTGCCGCGCTGCTGGGCGTCGCGTGCGACGTCTCGCCCGCAAAGGACGATGGTTTCAGGCAGTAGATGGCGACAACATGCAATTAAGGACCGAAAACAGTAATGAGTGTCTACGATGACGGGGTCTACATGAAGTCCGGTGCTTCATTCGACAGGTTAAAACGAGTTATGAAAACGCCGCGCCCATCGCCGCGCGTGGCGGTGCGGCGAATTACGATCCTCTTTACCCGTTCCCACCAAGGCCACTTGCCAACTCAGCTCAATGGCTATTCGTGCCATTGCCTTCGAGCACTCACACGTTCACGCCACATGTCCTTAGTATGAAATGCCCACTTGCTTGATGTTTTGTATTATCTACTTTTTACACAGTTTTCAAAAATTCGCCTGGTTTTGTTGAAATATTGAAGAGGTGGGTAGAACAATTGGAAGGTTATGTTGAGTTTGTGACGCAAGCATTTTTCTATTGAATTGTAGTTTACATGTGATAAATTGACTGATTGATTGTTTATTTCAGAAATTCAAAGTGCGTATAGAAGCGACACCGTTCCGTAAACATATGGTTTTCCTTGGTGGAGCCGTACTTGCAAATATAATGCGGGATAGGGACCAAGTAAGTGAACGTTTGTTCGTTGTGGCCGAGTTCACTTGTAGTTACATTTTCGTTTATTATTCGAATATGACGATAGTGTACTGCAGAGAATGTAGGAGAGCCTACAGTTTTGCTCGCTGCGGATGAAGGGGCGTGTCAGTGGAGCCGGGCTTTGGCGTGCTGCCAGCTTGATCTCTATCAGTTGTTAAAGCGGCTTAGCGACAATAGCTAAAGAGAAACGACTGATACGAACGACATGATACATTCTTGTCGCTTCCCGAGAGAAAAAAAATAGAAAAGGGGTGTCGCCGCGCCAAACTTATCCCCTGACACGCCCGTCATCTGCAACGAACAAGACTACATCTATCTTTTTGCTGATGCTCCATTTACCATTTGTCCAGTTACTCGTTTTGGTTCAAGTCAGAGGTGTGGTGACTCGTCCTTTTGAATCACTGGCCCCGCATTGTATACAAGGCACGCCATTTCCTGAAAAATACGATTTCCCTAATTCCATCCTCAAATGCGACCCAACTCCTACCACTT